TAAACATTATCTCTTTACATTATATAATATTTTATGAATTTCACAATTTCACACCTTTTATGATGAATTTAGACAATTGAGATCATAGTTTGAGTAGTTTTACATTTACGGTATTTCTAAGAATTTTCTGTCAAATTAATAACTTTTGTTGAAATGCTGTATTCATAAAATTATTTATAAAAACACTAAAAAATATAGTTACCAAAATATTATTTACATAAAAATTAATCTAATTTAAGTGTGAAATCATTTGGACTATAATAATAAAAACAATAAAGTTTTATCGCAAGAATTTCAATTGTAAACTGATATCTCTGTAACTATTCTGTAGAGTAAACTCAATGAGTACTCTATTATTCTGACAACAAGTCTTACTTCTGTTAGAATCTCTTAAGTGACAAACAAATGAAAAGTAATTTGTATTATATATTGATATTCATTATTAAGACAACAACTGATACAGTATAAAAGGCTTGAAAAGATATTTATTGTTTTAATATATATTTTGAGTGATTTATTGGTGAATGCAAAGTAAGGGTAAAAGATGTCAACGACAACTGAGAGACCTTTGGGTATAGACGGCCCAAGTCATATCGATTGGCCCGACTATTTAGTCATTGGATTATATTTTGTGGGCATTTTGATCGTCGGATTTTGGGTATAAATAAAATTGTCAAAAACATTTCAAATAAGTAACAAATTTATGATAATATTTATGCCCATAAAGTCTTCGAGAAGAAGTAAAGGGGATTCAGTGAGCGGTTACTTCTTAGCCAATAGGAGTATGCATTGGATACCAGTCAGTCATATCATCGCATTTGTCTATGAATTATATACTAAAATAACCGGTGATTGACAGGTAGGCGCTTCTCTATTCGCGAGTAACGTAGGAAGTGGTCAATTTGTAGGTCTGGCCGGTTCGGGAGCTAGTTCTGGACTATCCATCGCGGCCTTTGAGCTTAATGTATGCATTGAGACCATATTAAATATAGTTATAAATATTTAATTGAATATAATTTGTACTAAAAGGCAATGTTTGTCCTATTGGTGTTGGGATACTTTTATCTACCGGTCTATATTGCAGCCGGAGTAAGAATACTACTGTTTTATTGAATGCTTAAATTTGATTATATATTACATGTTTAATATTAAGGTGAATACAATGCCTGAATATCTTAGAAAAAGATTTGGTGGGCAAAGGATTCGCATATATTTATCAGTGTTGGCGCTATTGTTGTATATTTTTACCAAAATATCTGTAAGCTTAATCTTATATTCTCAATATACAGAATGATATTCACAAATATATTGAATACCCAAATTCCTGAAATAACTGAATGTGTGTATTACTAAAAGGCTGACCTGTATGCCGGCGCCCTATTCATCAAGCAAGCGTTGGGTCTAAATATGTACCTTTCGGTTGTCATTCTTCTGGGAATATCTGCCGTCTTCACAATGGCTGGCGGTCTGACCACAGTATGTGTCCAACGATTGATAAACTCATTTAAAAGCTTATTATTAAACGACAGGTCATTTGGACTGATTTCGTGCAAACAATTATCATGATTATTGGCGCTCTCGTACTCGTAATCTTAAGTATGTTTTCATTAATCATAAGATCTTATGTTAAACTAAGTTATATTAAGTTCATGAGTTATACAAGACATGACAAGTTATGTAAGACTTATATTACTGTATAAATGAATGAACTAATTGATAAGAAAATGGATTTTTAAGTGTTCATTAAATTGTCAATAGGTTTGAAAGAAGTGGGTGGTTATGATAAACTGATGGATAATTTCAGAGAGCTAGGACGTCCTAATAACACAGAATATTATTCAATAAACATTGCCACTAATAAATCTTGCAGCGAAATCAGCCAATACTATAAAAATCTGTTGAGACCCTGGGATGATGCAGACCTTCCCTGGACGGGTATGGTGTTTGGTATCACTATTTCAGCAGTTTGGTACTGGTGTTCTGACCAGGTATATAGTACTAATCAAACATTATATGTCTTGATTGTGATATAAATGTTGAATTATCAATTACCTAGGTAATAGTTCAGAGAGCGTTGTCAGCAAAGAGTTTTTCACACGCGAAAGCCGGATGTACTCTCTGTTCATTCATTAAGTTATCACCGCTTTATTTGTTGGTTTTGCCCGGAATGGCATCTAGGGCTTTATGGCCAGGTATGCGTTTATTTAATTGCTAGACATTTTCTATAACCCAAAATCAATATCCCAGATGAGGTCGGGTGCTCTAACCCTGAAAAGTGTAAAGAGATTTGTGGGTCGGAGTCGGGCTGTTCTAACATCGCCTACCCGTTGCTAGTGTTGAGAATTATGCCAAGTGGTAGGCAATCAGCTATCGATTCATTTATCGGAAAAACAATAACACAATTCATTTCATACCAAATAGGAGTGACGGGTCTCATGTTGAGCGTAATGATGGCGGCGCTCATGAGTTCTCTGACATCCATATTCAACAGCGCGTCCACTATATTCACGATTGATATCTACAACCGATTCCGTAGGAATGCCTCAGAGATAGAGCAGGTGA